TATATATATATATATATATATTTCACTTGCATTTTATCTAGACAACTGTCATGAAGAGGACAAGCCTGTAGATAAAGTAGTGACTCTCCTGTCGACTCCATAAATGGCTCAAGAAAATATGTCATCACCTTCACTACAATTTTGGTATTGGGGCCTCTTTTCCCAATCCAATGATATGATATTGATCTGAATTATCAGAGTGATGAAGGACATTTCGTGTTTGTAGAGGATTGTGCTCCTGTGTATAATAACATTTGTTTGTCAGTATTCAGGCAGCATTGAATAACTTCCACGGTCACCAGAGTTGTCATTCCTTGATTTCGTTTCTTTGCGTATTCTCAGGGAGTGCAATTACAATTAGTTATCAGTGTGAACATTCGACTAACTTTGTAGTGCCCCTACTCGTTAACAAATCAGAATTGTTGAATATAATGTTCCACTGAATCATAAGGTGGAAATTTTAAATTGAAGCTACTGAGAACACAATTTCTTAGGCTTTAGGTTTGTTCCAACCTTGTGTCACAAACAGATTTCCAACTGTTTGTAAATCGTTGTCAACGCGAATGTCTGGTAAATATTGGTTTCTGATCAATTTGAAATTTCTGTTTGGAACAGCTGATAATTCAACTGAAGTTTGGCATGGAATTTCAACATAACCTTTAAAAATAAATCTAATCAAGTGTATTTCTGGAGAGTAAAAGAAGGTTGATGTATTTTATATCTCTATTCTATTTACTAATCAACATGGAACTGGGAGGTCACCGCAATAATTAATTTGTGTAATTAAAGATGTTCATATTTTAGGTTCACTTAAAGAATTCCTAATTTTTCCTGCGCCAGCAAATACATAATTTATTTTAAAACAATTTTTGCAGGTTATGTTGTTTGAAAGTTGCATGAACATAAAACAGAAACAGTAATACGGAATACGCATGCGTCAGATTAATGGTTAGAAGATAATCCTCAAACCATTCTGATAGATTTCGAACACGTTTGAATCTTGGATGGAACAGAAAACTGATAGTTTACTAATGGTTGGAAACTCACGTTGGAACGCAATCACATTACTGCGCAGAATCCTGACTGTCAGAAACTGTTTCTGACGCTGGTTGGAACGAACCTTTTGAAAACACAATTTCTTAGCTGAAAAGGGTCGTTGTTTCTTCCAAAAATATCTCACAGTTCCTGTTATCATTTATTTCTAATATAGACGTGATTTTTGGGAGCATAAACTCAAGATTTGTCTGTTAGTTAGTAGTTAGTTACCTGTTCTGTGGTTTATCGAAACTTCAGGTGTTTCATGATTTGGAAACATGCGTCATTTGGTAATTGCATTCTGAAGATATGAACTTGTACAAAGAAATTTTGAATGGTGCTGAATAATCTATAGAATGAAGAATTCTATAAATGCAAATAAGTGGTATACAAATATGCATAAATAGAGAGAAGAGGTTCTGCTTGCCTACTTGATGCCACTGACACATTATTTCATAGTATATTTTGATTTGATTTTTGAGACAAAATTTTTTTTAAATTATTTTTTCCATTCTCATATTTATTCTTTCCATTGAATAAATAGTTGACTTCATGGCAAATGACAAATGTTCATACTGGTTTGGATCACAAATAACAATTTCCCTACATTATATACTATGATGGTGACACTGTATAGGTATATTCCTGAAGTGATCAGATTCAAGTTCTAGTGAGCTCACATGATGGGTAATTCAAATGTAGGAGTAATAGATATATCTACTCACAACTTCTGGTAATACATAACAAGATACACCCCAGCATAAAACTGCTTTTGTTGCTCAAGTTCAATCTTCTGCTGATCTCTGGTATAGTAAATCTTCCGGCAACATCAGCCGCAGACAAAGCCGTCATACAAGACGTTGTCCTGAACATCGGTAGCTCCGCTTCATCTTGAAGAAACATAGGATAAAAGGCGTTATATGTTGTTGAAGAAACGTAAATGAATCCTAGACCTATGACTATGAAGACGAAATAACCGTCTTTAAGAAGTTCCAAGCCCAAGGATTTGGCGATCTTTTTCAGAAGAGGGTTCTCTTCTTCTTCTTTATTCAATTTGAATTGGCCTGTAATTGAATAAATCTATTAATGACTTGAAAGAGTACTTCATTTTAGAATAACTACATAATTCCCAGAAAATGTGAGTTTGTATCCAATATTAAGGAGAGTGTTCAATAACTACAAGACAGTGATTCAAAGAAGTAAAACAAGCCAAGTTGACTGCTTGTTAATGAAATTTCATTCACAATTATACCACAATATTTTTTGTCTTTCTTGAAAGTATCAAGGTGTAGAAAGTTTACTTTTTATAATAGTCTAGTTCAGAAATGCCATTTCTTATAATTTCATTCAGTTATCGCTAAAAATTATGATTGACGTGTCAGTCGAATCATAATTTTACACAGAGTGATTTACGATTTAAGCCATAATGCGCTAACAAATAGTTCGAAAAATATAAATAATAGAATATTCTAGAAGCTATTGCAGCACTTCAAAATTTGGAACCGATGTTTGGAGAGCAGACATTTTTTAAACAATTCTCACCTCCCATGCAGTTACAATTTTTATAACTTTAATCAACCGGAAAAATAAGGGTAAAAAAACAAGTGTTTTGGCTCGCGCAGTTGTATGGATAATAGTGTTTCAGCAATTTGTTTATTCCTTTCAACTCAACTTTGGAAAGATTTTCAAGGAACTAGGTATGAAGGTGGTTTTTGAAACAAGTCATGCACTACAGAGCCTTTTAGGAAATCCAAAAGACGAATTCGGGAATTCGGAAAAGTCTAGAATTTACGAAATTAAATGTAAGGACTGCGATGCAAAATATTATGGACAGACGAAAAGATCTATTAAAATGAGATATAAGGAACACTTGGCACACTTAAAACATGAAAGACCTGAAAAATCAGCAGTCGCATCATATTTTGCAACAAAACCATTCCCTATACTTCAGTTCATTAAGATTAGTTACACAATTAGTTGAGTTAAGACAATTTTGTGATATTAATTTTATATAGCTTGTTAAAATAATATTTTAATCATTAGATTTACATAAGGACACATTGTAAATTAATTTGAGACTAGTAGATAGCAATATTGTGAAATTAATTTAAGACATTTAAGACGCAGGCACCTAGAAGAGGTATCAATAGTAATAAGGATAACTTTTTAAGTCTGATTAGTTTGATCTTCCTCTTGAAGATTATCATTTGGTGATCGAAACACGTTTCCAACGGTTTGGTGTTGGGAAAAAACTTCAGTAATATTCGAAAGTTTAAATTGAAGCCTTTGAAATTCTCGAACCTAAAGCCTGTATTTTTTCCCTATTTTGAAGCGTTTTTTATGCATTATGAAAAAATCCCCCATTTATTCATGAAGAATAGAAGATTTCGAAAATTTACATTCATGACCTATTTTTTTCAAATATTCCGATTGTATTATGTTTTCTTTAAAAAAAGCCACGTTATTATGAGTTTTTCTAATTGTCATTCTCATTGTTGAAAACACTATTATTGATACATCATTCATGAGATAATTAGAATTTTTTGAAAATACGATAGTCAAATGATGATTGGATGAAAGTTTCAAGAAAACAATTGTGCCTAAATATGCATTCATCAAATAATCTAGTTGGGAATCACTATTTTCACTGCTTTCTTGTATTCTGAAAAAATATGTCGTTTTGAATGTATTTATTTGATAAACAATTTGTTATCAACAAATAAGTTTGCATAGTAGATTTTTCTGAATTTTAATGAATTAAATATGAAGTATCTCATAAAAATTTGTCAAACAATGAAAATGAAAGATAAACAAATCACATTAATATATTTTTTATTGATAACAATCGAGAGATTCTGAATAAAATTGTTTACTGCTTCATTCACTTTCAACTTTTTGAAATTTACATGACAGAATTAAAAAGAATATTTTTGAAAATTTTCCAACATGGATCTTTTCTGAATTCTTCAACTGATAGCATCAACAAAAAAAATATCTGGGCCTCAATTTCAATAATTATCAAGGTTACTATGAAAATCTTCGATTCGGAAATTATTGTTAATCAATAAAAGCATAATTGAGAAGGAAAGATGGTATTTTTCTGACGGAGAAATTTGGCTACGTCTGCGCGAGTCGAATCATCCATTTTTACCCGTTTTTAACTATTTAACTGAAATAATAAGTCACCTCAACAACAAAATTGGCACACGTATTTATCAGTGTAACTCGTAATAATACTGATATATTATTGGCAGAATCAATTTTTGCGAACAGTGATGAAAAGGAAATTATTATTTGTTTCAATTATACTGATTCTCAACATCCTGAGTCGGTCGGTAGCCAAGCGGTTCGACGTGAGAGTTTTGTTCAATCACTCGAATTGACTGCCGTGTTGGTCGGTGGTTCCAACCCTAGTCTGAACGATCGATTTTTCTATATTTTTTGTCATTCTTCATATTTAAGATATATTATTCTTGTTTGACAAAGTTATGGATTTTGACTACCACTGAAAGAAATGAAGGCGCAAAAAAGTATTTTGATATTTTTTTGGAGACATATAGTGAAGATGAAAGGAAACTTCCAACTGATGATCCTTCAAAAACTACCATGATATACAAAAAAAGTATATGCCTATTTTACCATTGAAATAGTCTGGTTTGTCCAGGAACAGAGGATTCGTCAACTTTCGAATTCGTCAAATTCCAATATGAATCATGAATCATTGTCTAACTCTCTTCTTTTCAATCAACCAAGTCGACTATCAACCAATTTTATCGGATAAAAATAAACAACAAGTTCCACTCATGGAGATACGAATGAGCACTTATCAACATTCAAAAATAAATTGCCAAAAATTTCGTATCGAAATAGAAAAATTGAAAAAAATAATTAAACCATATTTTCAAAGTCCTGAATAATCACAATATTTCACCCAAATGAAAATCAACAAATCAATACGGTAATTATAGATCTGGAAGGTCTTTTAAAACTTTTTGTTCGAGTGGAGTTGAAGTAATGTGACAATTTTGAAAACTTCAAATGAATTCAGTAATATGTGGTTTTCAAATGTTTCAAATTACTTTTTCATAGGGTTACACCATGCAGTGGTTGGAATCAATCATAAATGTAATTTCTCTGATTTCTGACTCCTCAAAAATCATCGTGCAGCTCACAAATCAAACATCGACCTTGCAGGTAAGTATCCTTAATGTATGAAATTCACTCGGCAAATGAATTACCACCAAAGAGAACATGCCTGTATGATAATTTTTTCATAAAGCATGTTGAATTTTGATTGAAATTTATAACTCGCAGGCTTTTTGCGTATCATAACGATTCGTACGTTTCTCCATTTATGCTTTTCCTAAAAGCAGTTCGTAGTATTTTTATTAAAGGGTAATTAAGTTCTGAAAGATTTCCAGCTTGAAGATGCTTGGATTCAAAAGGTGTAAAACAAAATACTTATCTCGGGGTTTTATTATTCTTAGAGTTATTAAATATTTTTAAAACCATATTATACTCACTATTTGCTACTTCAACAGCAGATTCTTTGTAATGGGTTTCTATTCCACGTTTGAACATTCCCTCTTTAGTCTTCTGAGACTGATCATTTTGTTTCAATAGATTTACTTCCTCTTCCTGTTTTTTAAGGTCTCTACTCTTCTCACTGCCTGCCCCAGAATTATCCAGTTCGTTTCCGTTTTCTGCTGCTGGACCAGTCCCTGAACATTTTTTGCAACAGAATATTGGCTGTAATTATTAAGAGACAAATAGCATATATCTTATATTTTCAGTAATTGGGGATATGATATACACTGTTCATTGGCGGACAAAAATGTTTGTAACGTAGACACATTTTTTGCCGCCAAACAGTGAAACAATAAAACCTCCAACCAGAAAATGAAGAAAAAAGTCAATTTGATAGATTTTAAGGGGAGGTTTACCAATAGTATGAAATATTCTCATACATACATGAAATTGACCAACAAAACGAAATTAGGGCCAAATTAACTGGGAGAAAAATTTGTTCAGGCCAGTTTCGACTTACCTACACTGTAGGTGGACTGACACATATCAGAAAAAAACTATTCACCTGGCTGAAACCACGAAGGGCGTTGGATCATATCCAACAGCTGTCAGTGCAGGAATCTTCACTGAAATATTCCCTGCATATGCTGTTGGCAATACAACTACTGGAATCGATTTTCAATTATAGGAACGGGCACACTTGCAGGCCGGTTTCGGGCTATTTGACCTCTCGTCAGTGCAAGGTAGTGACCATCATCAACCTAAAGTTGATGATATTCCATAATCAAGAATCGAATTCCTTTCAGAGTTTAATTTCTCTAACCAAGCTGAAGCTAACGATAAACAACAAATTTGCCATTGCTCCATCTGGTAAACAATGTACTAACCAACTGCATATCCAAAATTCGCCCAATTCCTTGTATAAGGAAAGACACTTTCATTTATTGAGCATTAGTGGGCAAACTTGAACACTGGCTGTAAATCAAATTAACTGAAAGAACATTTTGTTAAGGTAAAGCTCGACTTATCTACACTGTATATCAAACAGGTCTCGGTGCAGGAATTTTCACAGAAGTATTTTCTGCATATTCTGTTGGCGATACAACTGCTGGAATCGATTTTCAATTATAGGAACGGGCACACTTGCAGATTGGTTTCGGTTTCCTATAATTGAAAATCGGTGCCAGTACAGCTATCCAGCCATAATTTTATATTATCAATGAATAATAATGATAGGTATTTATGTCTATAGAAATAGAAAAATGATACAAAGCGAGAAGGCGGATGTATTCAAGTTACACTTCACTATGAGATTTTCACTTTTCAGTTTACAAAACTGCAACATGTGTTTCACTATATAATAGCTTCATCAGGCATATTTATACTAACTATGGTATACCTTTCTACTGTGGAAAGTATTCATGTATTCAAGATGCTCGTAAAAATCAAAATTTCATAACAGAAATTCAAGTAATGTTCCTAACTTCAATTACCATTCATTGACAAATTTCCAGTAGTCAGACAGATCTGGGTGTTCCATAGTTTCTTCCACCAATAAATATTTAGCCCATCGAGGTGTAAAACAGCAGACTTCATCGAACCCACCAAAGCTCTTTGAACGTCACCCGAGGTTATTGGATTGCTCAGTATTATTTTGCTCAGGCTGTCGAAGCTCTCAACAGAAAGCTTCGAAGTGCGCTAGGATAGAAGAGTCTACGTTGAGTGGCTACGTATACGTAGGAAACATACTTCCAAAAGGATTCCACCTGATTAGTGGTAAGCGAATTATCCACATCACCTTCGATTGCCTGAGATCTTTCATTATTGCGGAAATATTAGAGAATGAACTGTAGTAGTCAATTCCGATATGGTATTCCATTAAGTGTCGGCCAATGAATGGATCAAGAAGTTTAAAATATTTGATATTACAATTGTGGTCCAAAAAAGTGTGAAATACATAAATTACAATTCTACTGAATTTTTATCCCAACACAAATCGTTATTTCAACACCTCGACACGTGTTTCGATTACCAAGTGATCATCTTCAAGAGGAAGATTAAAACTGTTCCAATCTTCCTCTTGAAGATGATCACTTGGTGATCAAAATACGTGTTAAAGTGTTAAAATAACGGTTCAATGTTGGGACAAAACTCCAGTAATTTCAATTACCACACCAAATGTTCCAGACATTATATCACAAATACATAAATTACAGTCGGTATAAGTTTTCAATATTCAACAAGGTGATTGGGAGCTGAATACCATGCTATTTTACTTATTGACTGGCATACAATCACCCTTATGAAAAGAACCTAAAAAGGGATACCTATAATTGGAAGGAAAAAAATCACCTTGAAAAACATGGCTCCAATAATTCCTGAATAGCTGACGAAACCAAGAACGAAAGTGGTACCACTGAATCCGTACTTTTTCAACAACATTCCTATAAATGTTGGCATCAACATTTGTCCAATGGCAGTACCACCCATGGATATTCCAACAGCAGTACTTTTCTTGGTGGTAAAGTAGTCGTTGATGACCAGAAATGTACCCGACGCCAAAAGACCAAGTCCCAAACCTGGAAATAATAAAATCATATTCAATTTCTACATCGGGTTTGAGTGCTACATTAGGTACATATGTTCTTGGATACATTCCACCAGCTTCAGGACTGAGCTGAATACGAGTATTTGCAATGAAGAACGTTTTAAAAATATATATTTTTGGGAAGTGAATTGTGTTTCAATTATTAGTTTTCCACCAACTCAGAAGTGGGATTAAGAATCGCGTACACGTTTTTTGCATTATCGAGTAAAATTGTTACGTGTGTGATCATGTCGAAAAACAAACGGAAACGAAGCAATATTTCGTCAAGTTCTTCTGACTCTACTAGTTCAAGTTCGAGTTCCTCAGCAGGATCCAAATCTAGAGAAAATCGCTAAAGAAGTCGTGGATGAACAACTACAAAGAAATCATCCCGAGGCTCCAGAAAGTCGAAACATTCGAGGGGATCCAAAAGAGTTAGACTATCTGAAAAACAATCAGTTGAATTCGAGGTGAGTACTGCACTTCATTCTTTACGTGAAAGGAATACCAGTAACGTCGTAGAAAAAGTAATACCAGATTTTGACCCTAGCAAGGAAAATATTTCCGAGTGGTTAACTATTATTGACGAGCATGCTAAGTGCTATGGGTGGGATGAAATTTGGGATGAAAATAGTATTAAATTTCAAGCACTTAATAAACTGAAAGGTACTGCTGAAAGTTGGTACCATGATTTCATTAAAGATGAAATTGGATGGGCAAAATTTTCATGGTCAAAATGGAAGAAACTACTTGATGGGGTATTTCAAGCTGATCGAAATACGTACGCTCTTTTTATGGGCATAGCTCACCATAAACCTCACTACGGAGAATCTCTCTATTCTTTCTATTTTGATCACCTTGCAAAAAATATTAAACTTAAAGCAGCCTTTTCAGAAACAGACAAAATTTCTCTATTTTTGGGTGCAATTAGTTATTGGGATATTTCAAGCTGATCGAAATACGTACGTTTTTTTTATGGACATAGCTTAGCATAAACCTCACTACAGAGAATCTCTCTATTCTTTCTATTTTGATCACCTTTCAAAAAATATTAAACTTAAAGCAGCCTTTTCAGAAACAGACAAAATTTCTCTATTTTTGGGTGCAATTAGCAATGAAACAATATTCTCCTCAGTGAAAGCTATCGGTATCAATAAATTAAATTCATTAGCTAATTATTTGAAAGATCGAACGCATGATGGTGCAAGTACTAGCAAGTCTATTTTGAATTATGAAACACATTCTTGCAGTTCCACCGTAACTAAATTCCAAAGTGAATCGCAAAATAAATCTCAAACGAAGACAAAATATGAGTGTCATATTTGTGGTAAAATTGGGCACATGAAAAAAGATTGCAATTTCAAAAATATTGTGAATGAGCAAACGTGTAGATATTGTAACAGAAATGGGCATTTCGAAGTTGCTTGCTTCAAAAAGAAAAATGATAAACGGAACAAATACGTAAAAAAATTAAAGCTCAAGTTGATTTCAACGGGAACAAAAAATAAATTATTCCGGAATATTTCCATTAACAATCAACTGGTTTCAGCTTTTATTGAAAGTGACTGTTCGGTGTTACAAAGACAAACTGCTGAATGCATGTACCTGAAACCATCCAGCTCAACTCGACCTGTCACACTTGCTGGATTTTTGGGAGATTGTATAGACGTTCAACAGTTTGTTAAAGCTTCAATGGATATTGGTAGAGTATGCCTTAACAGCGAATTCTATATAATTGATGATTATTTAGAGTCCTGCGAATGCATTATTAGTAGAAATTTCTCAGAAAATATAATTATAAATTATTGCAGAATGGGCGATGAATTGTGTTTCTTTTACGCAAGGCAAAACATATGTCAAATAAGCGAAATAATCATTTTCAATATGGAAACATGTATTCAACAATTGCTATATCAATACCGTAATATCCTTTCAGTTTCTTTCAATGATTTGAAGCAGATGAACTGCGAACGTTGTTGTTATCTAAAAACAACGTTACTCTTAATTTGCCCAAATGCTCTTTTCTCAAGGAAAGCATTACATTTTTAGGTTATCAGATCTCAGATGAAGGTGTTTCTCCAGACATGCATAAAATTGATGCTGTAAACAAGTTTCCGCTACCTAAGAATTTTCATCAACTACACCAGTTATCAGGCCTTATAAGTTATTTCAGAAAATTCATATATAAATTTGCTGATGAGTCGAACATATTAACTAAAACTATTGCGAAAAGACGAAAAATGGAGATGGGCAGATGAACATATTCAGGCTGTGGAAAATTTCAAGAAAATACTAACATCAAAACCACTGCTCATAATTGTTGATCCGAACTTGAAAACTATACTTACACTGACGCCAGTTGAGACGGATTGAGTGGAATACTCATGGAAGTCACAGATGCTGGCGGAAAACCAGTGGCATACTATAACAGACAAACTATGGCACAGGAAAATTCCGTCACTATCTACTGGGTATTGAATTCGTGATCCGTACGGATTGTAATGCTGTTAAGAATACTCTCAAAAATAAAAATATCAATGCAAGAATAAGTATGTGGGTCTTGAGCCTTCAAGAATTCACTCATACAATAGAACATAAACCAGGACAGCAAATGCACCATGTAGATGCTTTGAGTTGAAATCCAATACCCAGTGGAAATGAGAAATACTGTGTCGAATCCGTGATGCTTATTTCTGAGGGAGATTGGTTGGCTAAAGTACAAAATGAAGACCCAGAAATTAGAAAAATAAGAGAAGTTTTAGAGTCGGAACTAATTGAGGATGAGAAAGACATTTTCAATAACTATGATTTGAGAGCTGGTAAAGTTTTCAAAATAAAGGCAAATGGTCGACGGTGGGTTGTTCCGAAAAATTACCGTTGGCAGGTAATACACGCAAAGCATGTAGAAATGGGTCATTTCTGTGTTAAAAAGACACTACAGAGGGTTATGGATAGATATTGATTTCCCAAGATGCGTAGGTTTATTACCAAATATGTTAAATCTTGCCTTCATTGTCAATATTATAAAGCTCAAGCAGGCAAAAAACCAGGGTTCTTATTTTCTATTGTAAAATATGCACGCCCATTCCATACTCTACACATAGACCACGTTAGATCATTTATTGAAACCAAAGACGGAAATAAATATTTACTGGTAATCGTAGATTTATTCTCGAAGTTTACCATCGTCACGGCAGTACCTAATACTGAAAGTAAACCGGTGCTTGAGCAATTGATCAATATTATCAGCATTTTTGGATCCCCAAATCGATTGATATCGAACGCTGGAAAAGCCTTCATTTCCTCCAAATTGCGAAAATTCTACACTGAAAAGGGAATACGTCACTATCATACGGCTATAGCTATGCCTAGAGCTAAATGGTCAGGTGGGGCGTTTTAATGAAATAATACTTGATGCGGTGTTGGCAAGTGGAGCAAAAGTACTTGTAAAAGTAATGAATTTCGAAAGTGATGGATGTAGTAAGAAACTAAGAGAAAAATTCAAAGGGCCATTCACAGTGCAGGAAGTTATAGGAAATGATAGGTACAAAATCAAGGATGATCTTGGATCAAAGAGATGTAAAATAGGCAAACGTTACGAAGGCATCATAGCAGCAGAACATATGAAGCCGTTTATTCCCAGAACCGATGACATATTGTGAGTAAATTTGGAAACACTGCACATGCAGTCCTGCCAAAATGAAAATCTTTACTTTCATATAAAGTTTCTAAAACACTCGCACTTACAAGAGGAGTTCCGTAGAAACGTAGAAACAGTCATCAAGAAATAGGGAACACATTTCTAAAACACTGTGCGTGTGCTTAGTGTACATGAACAGTCCGGTAGAAATGTTTATCATAATTTTCTAAAACACTCGCTGTTACAAGACGAGATCCGTGTAAAGTTGTGATGGTGGGTGATGACAAATTTCTAAAACACTGTTGTTTATGATAACAGTCCTGTAGAAATTGTTATTACTTATGCGTGACATTCAGATTTCTGAAATATTGGAAAACTATTCCAATCGTGCAGAAATCGAGGAGAATGAATTTATTTGGCTGCAATTATAAACCGTTGATTTTGTTACAGATTGAACACTTTGAGGACAAAGAAGATACAGGATGGCCAAATGTTAGAAATCACATGATAAGCGAAGTATCATGTATAATTTATACTTGATATTGGGGTCAAACCCGAAACCGGTCGTATAAATAAAATCTACCAGTGGTATTTAGACAAAAGTGTTTTTATTCATTTCATTTACATGATCATGAATTACCATAAAGTGAACAATTCATCAATCACACATATTATGAAAAAGTTTGTTAAAACCAGTTGATGAATAACAATATGTTCATTACCACACTTTTTGTTNATCTGCTGGAGTTTTAAAGACTATCCATTTCTTTATCCAACCCAGGACAACAAAAAGATTGTCCCGAATTATTGGGGTTCTTGTTGGATACTCTTCGTGAGCCAAAAAATAGCAGAATCAATACTCGTAACCGCTCTGGATTGAATGATTCCATACAGTCTATCTCGTCTTGTGTTTGTAAATGTTTTGCTGAAAAAAATTCTCACTTGCTTACTTTGTAGTAAAGGTTCAAGAGATAGCGCAAAAACGTGTGTGAATTTCTGAAACGTCAACTAGCGTTTCCTAATATGACTGATACTAGTCCGTGCAAAGCTTATTGTTAAATCATCTGAGAATGGAAATTTCAACAGGTAATAATCGACTGTATTGCCAAACATGCGCCAAACTAACTGACTGTTATATAAGAAAACAAGTATAGCTTAGGCACCACTCAATCTAGTATAATAACACTGATGATCTTCAAACATGACTCAACCTCTGACGGAAGCACCAAACTCTTACGAAGGTTCGAAATAGATGTACACTTCAATCTAGCAGACCGTTATTAGAATCTTCATGCAGTTATTGTTTACTTTGGTTCTGGCGTTGTATCTGCTCATTATTACGCCTTGGTCAA